GTGAAATATATAATAACGTTACTTTATCTTGTCTGTGTTTATCCAGTACTTTTAGTCGAATAAATAGTATTTATATAATCGTTGCTGATAACAACTTTGTCAAAGATTCATCATTTAATGAACCTTTAAGGGGAATTAAAAGAGACATTTGGCGTGTAATGACACCAAAATGTGTGTATAAGGTGTTATTTTTATGATATTATTAACTAAATACACACTATTATTAATCTACCAATTTTTCAAAAGCATATAATTCTAAAATCGCTGGTATTTAATTATTGATATTATTTATCAAATTATTTCATCAAATTATTTCATCAAATTATTTCATCAAAATATTTCCAATTATATTTTCAACAATAATTCACAATTCTTAATTAAATTTATGTCTCTAGATTCAACACAAGCTCTTTTGCGTTTAAATTCCTATGGGTTTTCCTACTATTTAAGTCATGAACGATCACAATTTTTTAATGATTTGCTTCAACAAATAAAAGAAAGCATTTCTTTGATGAATGATCAATTGCAAGTAACCTATAATACTCAATCAGATCCCTCTGATTTCTCTAAACTTTTAGTAGAATTTTCAATTCATAAGGCATCTGATCCTTTAAATGATCCAAGTACAAACGATATTATCAATGATCTAGATACTATTATAAAGAACAAATATATTAGCTCTCTTTCTGATAAACCATTTATGATATTTCTTGACAATCAATATGGATTTCAAGCCAAACGTATGTAAAATATTCTTAAAACTATAAAAAAATTCCGTTATTCTAATTTATATACAAATTTCTTTAAATTACAGCAAATTTATGGCTTGAGGTTAGGTTAAAGTTGTTGGCCTTACTTATTGTTTCAGTTATTTTATTTTTAATCTTTTTATGGGCTCGAAGACGTAATCCAAAAGCAAGTTATATAATATTTTAATTTTGTTTTAATCAGTTTTGTTTCTATTTATTTTAATTTTTTGCAATTTTATAATTTGTAGGGTCGAAGTTTTGTTATATTTAACCTGTTTTTGATTCTTTTGGATTTGTCTCTTGATTTCCTTTTCGTAATTATAAATGGACATGATGTTCCATTTTTATTTATTCCCAGGTATATCAATATTTTTATTTCATTCAGTTAATTATGAATCAACCAGGGCGGCCACGAATTTTTCGGGTCACATGATGATCGGCGGCAAATTTATTTGGGAAATCCTCAAGAATTTATTAAAAGCTTTTCATACATATTTCTTATCTTCAAACTCTAACGAATTTTAGGATGTTTTATTTCTTATCACGTGACCCAAAAATTCGTGGTCGCCCTGGTGGATTCGTTAATTATCTAATTTTGCAAGTTTAATTAATTATTATTTTTTAAATCGTAAAAATAAAAAAATAGCTTGGTTATTATTGTTTTATCTATATCATTTAATTTCGTTTCATCAATTTATCTAATTGCAAATGAGAAAAATGAAAAAGATTTTAAAAACTGGTATGGTGATAATGTAAGGATTGTTGCGATCTTTACAATGATTGCCAGTTCTGATATTGAAATTCTAAATATTTTATCATCAAACTTTGCTGGATTTAAATGTTTTTCTGCTCCATTGTTTAAAAAAAAATTTATTACTAATGTTGTTATGATTAATCTGTTAATTGAAGATATTCCACAACTCATAATTCAAGTATACTTTTAAATATTATATCAAATTCTGCTATTTATTAATAAGCATACTAAATATATCTTTTTCATTATAGGTTATTTACTATAAAAGCGTTATTATATATTCAATTATACCGCTTCTTACATTAATCACATCTGCATTAGTTCTTACCAACAATATCGTGATAAATATATATAACTGTTCCCAAAGATTAAAAAATTGCACCTCATCGCATGAAGAACAAGGTATAAATAAAATTTTATTATTATTATTTTTTTAATTTCATTAATCTAAAAACATATCTCTATATATTGGTTCATATTATTGATTTTCATCTCTTTTTATTATTTTAGTTTAATGATTATTTATTTTTGTGATTACTTTCGTACATAGTAAAATTAGTGGTGATAGTTTTACAACTGTTGTCATTGTCACTTACTATTTTATTTTTCTGATCTAAACAATTCTAAATTATTACATAGTACTTATAATTATATTTTTACTTTTATTTTGTATTTATATTGATATATATTAAAGTTATTATTTTATATAATTATTGTATCTTAGTGCGATGTGTGTCACTTTTATTATATAATTGTTTATTCTCAAAGAAAATTAGGATTCTGTCTTCGACAATGCTTATTCATTAAGTCATACAAAATTTATATAATTGGCTCTCATACTATAAACCAATGTTTAGCGACACAGCTATATAGATTTTTGTTCTATAAAACAATGGATTTAAAAATTTTTTAACTTTTAACGCTACATATTATGTATAATTTCATGTATACTTTTTTACTAATTATACGCTACTGGGTTAGATGAATGAAAATCTATGCACATGATATTTTTATGCATAACGATGTCAATAAATTTAACTAGAATTATTCACAAAAATAATAGATTTGAAAGCACAAACCTAACAATGCTAACATTAAAACTTACATACTGTTAAAATCATTACTGACCATTGGTATGCAACTCAAACATTGGAGAATGTTTTTATTCGGAAAAAAATGATACAGATTTTTTAAAGCAGTTAATATCAAAAAGGCATTTGCACAGTTGCAGAATGTCTATATTGCGTTAATATGAGTCTTAAGTAAATCAAGAACCTGTAATACTGCCACCGGGAAATGAGTCCTATCTAAAGTAGTATAGTATGAAAAATAAAAGTAATAGTGTAGTACAACTTTAGATCTTTATACTCATACGTATATTTAAAAATCATACCTATCAAACTTATGAGTAGGAAAGACCATATCATACCTATCAAACTTATGAGTAGGAAAGACCATACTTATAAGTACAAAGATGATCATACTTGTAAGTACGTGAGACGAAAATTTGAAACGAACATTTCACATGACATAATACTAGGCTCGAGCTTACATAGCGTCGCCCAAAAAAAATGGTAGTGTTACACAACGAAAGTTTCACAATTAAACTTTCGCTGTGTAACCAATATACTCGTATATACGTTTGTGTAACATTTAATAGTTTATGCGCAGTATAAAGTATACTTTAATTAGACTATTAATAGACTATAGCTTGTTTTAAAGTTTATTCATGTATATATATAGAGTTATATGCATTTTAGTTTTAGAGATTTTTCTCTTTCGGGTTGTTTGTTTGGGACTCTTAGTAAGTTTGGAACTTGCTAAGTCGGTTAGTAAATAAGTGTATTAGTACTATTAGTGTGTCTGGGATACAACATAAGGATATTTGTTTGTTACTTTCTGGTGCCGTTTGTGATAATAAATTAGTCAGTTCATTTCTCGTTAATGATTACGGCCCTCAGTTAAATTGGCTAAGTGGATAAAAAGTCTCTCCCTTGGCTGTAACAGTAGCCAAATTTTTTTTTCTGGCTTATATTGATTTCAAAAACTGATTGCTGGTAAAGTTGTGTTTATTATGCTTAAAAATAATATTTCATTTTGATGTTTTAACTTTCGTCTTGACTTTGACTTTTTACTCTTACTTTCACTTTGACTTTCACTCTACTTTCACTTTGATTTTTATTTACTTTAACTTTGATTTTACTTTGATTTCTCTATAAAAAAAATATTATCATATTCTGAAAATATTCTGAATTATTATACTAGAAATATTCAAAAAATATTCAGAAATTATTCCAGTTTATTAACTAAGTTATACTCCAGAAATATTCCTGTTTTTCAAAAATATTCTGAAAATAATCAGATACTAATCATGTTTTACTTCTAATATATGAGCATTTTCTGGAGTGTTATATATATTTTATACTCCAGAATTATTCTGATTATTTGTAATTAGTTTAGAAAAATAGCTTTCTAGTAATTAGATTACTTTATGATTATATTTATAAATAAACTGGAATATATCTTGATAATTATTAGATTGTATCATGATTATTTTCTGATTAAAACATAAATATATTTATTAATAATTAGATTATTTCATGATTATATTTATAAATAAACTGGATATATCTCGATAATAATTAGATTTTATTATGATTATTTTCTGATTAAAATGTGAATATATTATTAATAATCAAATTATTTCATGATTATATTTATAAATAAACTTGAATATATTTTGATAATAATTAGATTATATTATGATTATTTTTTAGAAAGAGTTAAAAATAATTTTATATTAATATAGTAATATTTATTATAGAAATATTATTTTTATGAAAGATACAGATTTTTAGAATTTTTAGTTAAAATTTAATAAAGCACAATATATAGATATAATATAATTTTATATGTAAAACAAATTTACTTAATATATAAAACATACTATATTAATAAAATTTTGTGAATTATAAGAATTTTAAAAATTTTATTAATAAAATTATAGAAAATCTTATAATTTACAAAATTTTATTAATAAATTCTATCTCTATATTATAATTAATTTAGTTTTTTATATAATTTTATTTTAGAATAGTATATATTTATTTTATTTAACTTAATTTTATTATTATAAGATAGATATATGATACTATTATACTAAAATTAAAAATATAAATAATGATATTTATATAAGAATTTTACTAACTATAACTGGTTGTGATCATCACTGATATATAATTAGCTAATAAAATTGCAGGATCAGGTGTAATATGCAAATTAATTTGTATAATCAAAATAAAGATTTTTTTTTTAAAAAAATGCAGATATCTCAAGAATTCGTTTATAAAACTACTTTCGACATTTTAACAAAAAAAAATTCTTACTAAATTTCGCATATATCTAACACTTTGCTAAAATCTCAAACCTTACTCTAATCTAAAGTAAATGAAATGAAATATTTTTTTAGTTTATCATTATTGGCTAATTATACATGGTGATAATCACTACTGATTATTTTAAGTAAAAATCTTTATATAATATATACTAATTCTTAGATTATATCATAAAGCTTTTGATTAGATTTAGTATTACAACTAATCTTAAAAATTTTATCTTAAAAATTTTATCATTTATTTTGTTATAATATAAAAAGTTTGTATTATAATTTTATTAATTAACTTAAGTTTATATAGAACAATTTTAGAAAATATATAAATTACTAAATTAATATAGATAAATTGAATCTAAATAAAAGATTTTTTGTATAAGAGATTTATAGAAAGAGTCAGTATATTTATCTTTATTGTGTGAATATTATATATATAATATTTATATTAAATAAAAGTATAGCTTTTTTAAGATATTTTTTATATATCTATATAAAACAAATAATAAAATATACAAATATATAAATATATAAATTAGGACTTAATTAGGCATCGCAATCTGCGATGTGCTTATATATCGCATTTTAGATGATTAACCAATCAAATTTCAAGATCAGGTATAACGTAGCATGATCAGGAAGATTCAAAACAAACGTTCGTTTTGGCAAAAGT